TACAAATATTATTTCATTAGATCCTCCCCTGAGACAGACAGAGATTAAGTGACTTGGTCAGGGTTACACAGCTACTAAGTGTCTGAGGCAGGATTTGAACTCAGGTCTTCTTAACTCCAAGTCCCAGACTCTATTCACTGTGTCACCCAGCTGGTCGATGATCTTATGAGATTAGTACCTGACTCACAGTCTTCCTCTCCATCTCAACCCTTTCCATCATATGTGAAGACACCAATATGCATTTCATTGTTCCCCCTCTATCACCTCCCAGATCATCTTCCTACTAAACTCTCTGACCTATAAACAGAGATGGTCCTACATTTCATCTTTCTATCACCTGTATTTGTGTACCTCCATGATCCAGAACTCTGAAATTCCTTTCTCTCATAATATCCTATCCTTCCATCTCTTCCTTGGCCTCCACTTTTCCTAAGCCTATTTTTCATCCTGACCATGATCTCTAAACCCTCAGCTTGTTCTCCCAGTCTATGATCCTTGCTCTGTCCTCACTTTCTTGTCTTTGTAGTCTTGACTATATGATTGACCAGTTCAACTATGCACTATCAAATACCCTTCAATTTCTTTTCTTTTCTTTTCTTTTATTCTTTTTCTTAGGCAATTGACATTAAGTGACTTGCCCAGGGTCACACAGCTAGTAAGTATCAAGGATTTGATACTCAGGCAGGATTTGAACTCAGTTACTTCTGATTTCAGGGCCGGTGCTCTACCCACTGCAGCACCTACATGCTACCTGTGTGTAGGTAGCTGCCCCTACCTTTCAATTTCTTGCCCCCTTGTCCTATAGTTACACATGCCTAGCCAAATTCCAGCCCTGAGCTAACCCCACCATCCATATTATCTGCTCCTACTCACAATTAATCAACAATAACTTATTAAGTGCTTAACCATGTTCCAGGGATTGTGTTAACCACAGGGTTACAAAGAAGCAGCAAAAAACATTTCTGTTTATAGTCTATGGAAGTTTGTATTCTAATTGGAGAAACATACAAAATTAGTACATACAAAATAACTGCTGAGTAGATGGAAGGCAATTTTCGATGGTATGACACTAACAGCGACATAAACATGCTATTTTGGTACCCGACAGATTTATCTGATCTAATCTCAATTGCATCTTCATTATTACACGGCTATCCTTTTATTTTTTTCTCCGTCATTCTCTATCCACTCCAGACAGCAGCTTCTTCCAAACCTTCTCATGTCCTAGAACTCTTCTCCCTTTCAAAGTCAAACTGAGAAAAATTCATCTGTACTTCATTACTTTGATATCTGGACCTTCCCTTGACTTCTCAAACTCTTATATTCTGGCTTCTGACTTCATCACTCTATTGAACTTGCTACTGTAACTGTCTGAACTGCTGAATCTGGTGTCCTTCTTTGTTCTCATTCTACATTACCTTTCTTTAGCCTGTAGCACTGTCAACCAATCCCCTTCTCCTGTATACTCTTATTCTTTGACTTCTGAGCCATTGCTCTCCTTTGGTTCCCCTCTTACTTTATAATGGTTGCTGTGAAGATCAAATAAAAATATGTGCAAAGTGCTTTACAAGCCATTAAATGCTATATAAGTTATTGTTACTATCATTATTATTATTATTATTGTAAGCTAGTTGGCACAGTGGGTAGGGTGCTGGGCCTAGCAACAAGAAGACCCAGGTTCAAAAATGGTCTCCGATACTTACTGGCTATGTGACTCTAAGGAACACACTTAAACTCTTCCAGGATTGTTGTGAAGATTAAATGATCTAATAATTGTAAAGTGCTTAGTATTATACCTGGCATACGTAGTAAGCACCATATAAATATTAGGTATTATTGTTAATAATATTATTTTATCTCTATCTAGCTACTTCTTAATCTCCTTTATTGAATAAGTTTCTCTTTCCTGCTCATCAAGTACATATATGTGTCCCTGAAAAATCCGTAGTGGTTCCTTATTGCTTCTAAGACACAAACTCTATAGGCTGGGATTTGCAGTCTTCCATAATCTACCTCCTACCTCCTTCCTACCTCCCTTTCCAGACTAATTGTATCTTTCTGCCCTCATACATACTATATTTTGGCCAAACTGGTACATTAGTTATTTCTTTAACTTGACATTCAAAAGCTTTTAATTTTTATAAGTAATAGGTGGGTGTTTTAAGAGGATAAAACAAGAAGCTTTGGGATTCAGCAGTCCCTCAGTTTACCAAAAAGAATGCATTTTGATTAACAAAAGAATGATGATTGCTTCAATCTATTTGGAATAAATCCATTATTGTAAATCCGAAGTATTACCTCAAGCCTCATTCCGAGTCTAAAGTGTATGAATAAAAATCTAATTCTTTCAACTGTTTTTACTTACTATCCTCAGATTGGGCAAATTAGATTTCACAAGCACCTGGTTTGCATTCTAATATAATACTTCCTTCCCCCATACAAAAGTCTGCATTTGTGCTATTCCTTTCCTGTATAAAAAGGTTGATGCTAGAAACTCAGGTTATATGTTGGGAAAAATTAATGGCCATAACTCCTTTAAGGCACATTGAATTTGTCAACCATTCAAAATGTAGGCAAAGTCAAAAAGACCAAGGATTCTTCAGGTTTCAAACAGAATAGGTTTTACCCTGTTCCCATACTTACTCAGAAGGCAGACACATAGCCTTCTGTCCTCATCAAGTCACATCTGTTAATTTTATGAATAATTTAATTGCACAACTTTATCTATCCTCTGTGTTTTTTACGCTTTGGATTTTATGTAATGTGAATGCTCAGCATATAAGGGTATAACTAGGAATTATTAGGCCTAAATAAGCAGATTTTTCTAATAATAATGAAATTAAAGTTTTTATAAAACACCTCTGTGACTTTTGATTTGAAGCATTTTCCTGCTCATTTCTTGAAATGAAGTGGGGGAGGGGAAGGTGAGTGAGGGGAAATATTAATTTTTTTTCTTTACGAAGGTAATCAAAAACATATAGTGTGCTCTTCTTTTTTGGAGACTTGCTTGTTGCTGTATGTGCCCATGACCCTCACTGACAGCAACAAAAATCTAAACTCTGAAGCTTTCCTCTGCTTTTTAAAGGACTAGTCTCAGAGATTTTGCAAAGACTACCTTAAAATTTAATATCACTCCATCATCACGGTTAGTGTTCCTATTGCTATGTCCATATGTGAGGATTGTTTCATAAAAAGGTCTTGCCTTCACCTTCAGTCTTCTGAGGCCTCCTTTTGGACCAAGTAGCACTAAAAAGATGTGCCAACCTTATTAGTCAGTTCTGTGGTACAATGTCCGGATTCCAGTTTCTGGTGACACATTTTTAAATTTAACAACATAGAATGTCACCATTTAGAAGTTTAGTTTGTTTTATGATTCAGATATTACAACAGGTTTGTATAATTAAAGAAATCCAACTGCTTACCAAATGTCTGAGGGCTTAAATGCACACGGTTTTACAGAGCAGGTAATACCTTATATTAAATTAGATTTTGGAAAATACTGTCTTGAAGTTACTCTAATGTTACGGAATGCTAGAACCAGAAGGAATCTTAGGGATCATTTAGTCCAATGCTTTCATTTCATAGGTCAGGAAATTGAAACCCATAGAGGTGATTTGATCACCTTTGTTTATATTCTCAACTCAGTATTCTTGTTTAGTTATTTATTTATTACCAAAAAGAACAATTCCCAACTACAATACTATAATCTTTTATGCAAATGTCCTTGGGAATTAAAAATATGAAGAAATAAATATAATTTATGCTTACCCTGAAATTTCAAAATACTTATAATCTAATGGTTAACACTTTTTTAAAATCACTAAATGTGCCTGTTTGGTGGAAAGGTTTTAAATTTGTTTCCAAAGTTGGTGAATTTCTCTTACTGGAAATAATTCTCACCATCTGTATATTATTAATTGTCTATTTGTGTTTTCAATCACTACAGGGACGAAGAATCACCAGAGCTGGATGGAACCTTAAAAGTCATCTAATTCAGTCCTGTTATATTTTACGAATGAGTAAGCAAGAATAGAGAAGAGAAATTACTTGACCGTGGTTCCACCAAGGATTTCTCTCTTGAATGTTAGAAATCCTTTGACCTGCTTACAAGAGAAAAGGAAGAAAGGAAGGAAGGAGAAGGGAGAGGAGGAAGGAAGAAAAAAGGAAAGTAAGAAGAAAAGAAGAAAAAAGGAAAGAAAGAAAAAGGAAAGATGGGAAGAAGCAAGGAAAAAAGAAAAGAAGGAAGGGTGGGAGGGAAGAAGGAAGGAAGGAAACTCCTGATGGAGTGTCAGTAACCTCACTCTTCAAATGCCTTCCAAGCCTGACTTTACATTTGAAAGTCCTTATGTAGAACATGAATGGGAAACATTAAGAATCACGTTTCTTTTTCTTTTTTTTCTTCTACAACCAGACTTGTCCATAGGACCAGTGAGAAAGGATGGAGATGTATAGCTAGATGTGGCAGTTTTCCCAAGTCGGTGTGCAACTGAAGACAAGGGGAACCAATCCTGTTCCCTCTAGGGTCCAGTGCAGGAGACTGACAGCAGCTAAAAACGCCTATGAGACTCTAAGAGGGCTCCTTTCTCTCATTAGATTCCCTCCCCAACTCTCTTAAGGGGGCCCTGAGGACACGGCATGGGCAGGATTGACAGACAAAAAGGAATGGGGATCAAGGCAACAGAGAAAAGTAGTGATGGAGGACTGGGGTAGGAAAAAGGGCAAAACGTGGGGAGGGGCTGAGGAAGGCGATGGGAATTTGGGGAGCAGCCAAGGAAAATGACAGTACCAGGGGCAAACGAGGAGGCATATGAGTAGCTGCAGAGCACAGAGAGAAAGAGGCAGAGATGGGGGTTGGAGAGCTCCGGGAAAGTTGCTCTACAGCCCGGGGTGCCTCCAACTTTCGCTTCCATTTTTAGCCCCGTGAGGTGCCAGGCTGTAAGTCGACACCCGAGCAGGAGGCGGGTGCAGAACCAACAGCTCCTCTCCCAACTCGTTCTTACCTTTTTCTTTCGCTCGGCACAAGCTCCAGAGCTGCATGACAAAAGTTTCAGGTCCTAGCCCGACTCTGCCCGGGAGGCTGAGAGCCTGGGAGGCTGGAGCTGACGGGACTGCTCTGGCTCTCCTTCTTATTCAGGGTGGGTCCCCGCAGCCCCGGCCCAGTGGGTCAACTCCGCGCCCCTGAGCTCAGCCCCCGGCTCCAGGCGGCCCCGCGCCCGGCCGCGGCAGCTAGGATTAAAATAGGCAGGGCAGAGGGGAGGAGGCGGCGGTGCCCGGGCATCGGCTGCCACGGCGCACGCGCCCCCCAGATGCGGCTGCAGCTGTAGCTGCAGCAGCGTTTGGCAGGCGGAGACACTGAGACCGCAGCTGGAGCCACATCTGGGAGGAACCCTGGGGGCCAGAGCCAGGAAAGTGATGAAGAATACCCGGCTAAATAACAGCAAGGTGCTCGGGAGAAGAACGAGACGATTGTTTGAAAACTTTGATAAACTCCAGTTACTCTTAATAAATACATTAGGGCTTGAGTACCTTGTATGCACGACTAATAACATTTCACACTACGGAATATACACCATATATGTTGAAATTCATATTTTAATCTGTCCCATTTGGTATTAAACATTTGTTTTAAGAGAGAAGCTCTAGGGGTGCTGATCAGAGTTTCTCACCTTGTAGGATCATGGACTTAGAGCTAAAAGAACTGACATTATTCAATACTCAGATTTTGCCCATCAGGAAACTGAGATTCTGAGTGAGAGCTAGTATGATTGCTGCTATCACCATCACCACCACCACCTCTTCCTCTCCTGACTGAACCATTTCTTCACAATTCTTACTGCACTGGAAAGTGCAATTCACGATTTTTCTAGAGTGGCCCATGTAATTAGGAATCCATAGGGATGTAGGCATGAATTTTTTTTATTGATAGCAATAATGAAATATAGCCTGCAAGCTGCTCAAATATATTAATTTCTTAGCAGTAACACAGGAGATATCCTCAAACCTCCATCTTAATCAAACTTCAAGACTCAGCTGAAATTTCACATTCTGTAGGAGGCTGATTCTGATTTTCCCAGCTGTGAGTAATAGTGCCTTTCCTTCTCAGATTTGCTTTCATTTACTCTATATATATCTTGTGCACACCTTATTAATTTTCATGTTTGTTTTGCTCATTAGAATGTGAACACGTTGAGGGCAGGAACCGTTTTTTGCCTTTCTTTGTATCCCTAGTGCTTAGCACAGTGCCTGGCACAACAGTAGTTGCTTAATAAATGCTTCTCAACTGATTGATGACTCTAGAACTGTGGGATATATTCAGTCAGAGTCATTTTAATTCTTTTTCCAAACTTACAATATTGATGGTGGTTTGCAGCTTCAATTTAAGGGGTTATGTGAAAGAAAATTTACTGTGCACTTAGAATTGGACAACCCATAACTAGGGGGTCATGCATCATTATGATTTTTTAAAATTTATTTATTTTTAGTTTTAACATTCACTTCCACAAGATTTTGAGTTCCAAATTTTCTCCCCACCTTGTCCCTCTCCCCACCCCAAGAGGGCATGCATTCTGAATACCCCTTCCCCTAATCTGCCCTACCTTCTATATTCTCCCTCCCTTCTCTTATCCCCTTCCCCTTCTATTTTCCTGTAGGTCAGGACAGATTTCTATATCCCATCTCCTGTATTTCGGATTTGTTTTACAGTGTCTTGATTTCTCATGTGGAAACAATTTTTTTAACATGTGTTTTTAAAACTTTAGGTTCCAAATTTTCTTCCTTCCTCCCTCCCCAACCACCCTCATTGAAAAGGCAAGCAATTCAATATAGGTTATACATGTGTAGTTATGCAAAACACTTCCATAGTAGTCATGTTGTGAAAAACTAGCTATATTTCCCTTAATCTTATCCTGCCCCCATTTATTCTATTCTCTTTTGACCCTGTCCCTCCTCAGAAGTGTTTGCTTCTGATTACCCCCTCCCCCAATCTTCCCTCCCCTCTATCATCCCCCTGCTCTCTTATCCCCTTCCCCCCCTATTTTTCTGTAGGGTAAGATAGAGTTCCATACAATTGAGTGTGTATGTTATTCCCTTCTTAAGCCAAATCCTATGAGAATGAGATCCACTCATTTCCTCTCACCTTCCCCGTTTCCCCCCATTGTAAAAGCCTTTTCTTGTCTGTTTTATGTGAGATAATTTACCCCATTCTACCTCTCCCTTTATCCTTCTCCTCGTATAATCCTCTCTCACCCCTTAATTTTATTCTCCAGGTATCACCCTTCATCTTCAACTCACCCTGTGCCCTCTATCTATCTATCTATCTATCTATCTATCTATCTATATACATACATATAATTTTTTCCCTCCAACTACTCTAATACTGACAAAGGTCTCATGAGTTACAAATATCATCTTTCCATGCAGAAATGTAAACAGTTCAACCTTAATAAGTCTCTTATGATTTCTCTTTCCTGTTTACCTCTTCATGTTTCACTTGAGTCTTGTATTTGAAAGTCAAATTTTCTATTCAGCTCTGGTCTTTTCATCAAGCATGCTTGGAAGTCCTCTATTTCACTGAATGACCATTTTTCCCCCTGAAGGATTATACTCAGTTTTTCTGGATAGGTGATTCTTGGTTGTAATCCTATCTCCTTTGACCTCCAGAATATTATATTCCAAGCCCTGCAGTCCTTCAATGTAGTAGCTGCTAAATCTAATGTTATCCTGATTGTGTTTCCACAATACTTGAATTGTTTCTTTCTAGCTACTTGCAATATTTTCTCCTTGATCTGGGAACTCTGGAATTTGGCTACAATATTCCTAGGAGTTTTCCTTTGGGGATCTCTTTCAGGAGGTGATTGGTGGATACTTTCCATTTCTATTTTACCCTCTGGTTCTAGAATATCAGCGCAGCTTTCCTTGATAATTTCTTGAAAGATGATGTCTAGGCTCTTTTTTTGATCATGGCTTTCAGATAGTCCAATAATTTTTAAATTATCTCTCCTGGATCTATTTTCCAGGTCAGTTGTTTTTCCAATGAGATATTTCACGTTATTTTCTATTTTTTCATTCTTTCGGATTTGTTTGACAGTTTCTTGATTTCTCATAAAGTCACTAGCTTCCAATTTCTCTATTCTAATTTTTAAGGGAGTATTTTCTTCAGTAAGCTTTTGAACTTCCTTTTCCATTTGGCCAATTTTGCATTTTAAGGCATTCTTCTCCTCATTGGCTTTTTGGGCCTCTTTTGCCATTTGGGTTAATATATTTTTTAAGGTGTTATTTTCTTCAGTATTTTTTGGGTCTCCTTTAGAAAGCTGTTGACTTGTTTTTCATGATTTTCTTGCAACACTTTCATTTTTCTTCCTAGTTTTTCCTCTACTTCTCCTACTTGTTTCTCAAAATCCTTTTTGAATTCTTCCCATGGCCTGGGACTGATTCATATTTTTCTTGGAGGCTTTGGATGTAGGAGCTTTGACTTTCTTTTCTTCTTCAGGTTGTATATTTTGGTCTTCTTTGTTACCAAAGAAAGATTCTATGGTCTGACTTTTTTGCACCTTTGTTTGCTCATGATCTCATCCAATTACTTGAGTTTTAAACTCTTTGTTAAGGTAGGGGTCTGCTTTCACTGTGGAGAATGTACTGTCCCAAGCTTCAGGGTTTTGTGCAGCTGTTTTCAGAGATACTTCTAGGCACCTGTACATTTTCAGTTCTTCCAAGGTGGTATGATAAGGGGCGAGGTGTTTACTCCTTTCTTGGCCTGTGCTCTGATCTATGAGTGACCACAAGCACTCTTTTCTGCCTTGGAATTGTGAGAAGAATTTCCTCTCCACCATCACTACAAGCTCTACCACGCCAGTGCTCCTCCTCGCCCCAGGACCGCCACCTAGAACTGTGACCCAGATCCAAGCAGGGCAAAGCAAGAGATTCCTGCCTTAGCACTGGCAAAGAGATCCCTGCAATCCCCCTCTGATCAGCCACTTGATTCCCCCTCAGCCTGTGGGTCAGAAGCTCTAGAGGCAGCCACAGCCCCAGGGCTGCAGTGGGGCTGGGGCTGGAACCACACTTCTTTTATCTCACTGAAGTCAGACTTTTCTTACTGACTTTCTAGGTTCTCTTTGGTGTTCATGGGTTGAGAAGTCTCCTCTGAGGCCTGCTCCAGGTTCACTGAGGCCTGGCTTGCCTGCACGCCCATTCCCCGCTTGGCTCGATATAACTTCCTGATCAACCATCCAGGCTGTCTTGGACTGGAAATTTGTTTCACTCTGTCTTTTTGTGGGTTCTGCTGCTTTAGAATTTGTTTAGAGCCATTTTTTACAGGTATTTGGAAGGGTTTGGAGGAGAGCTCAAGTAAGTCACTGCTTTTATTCAGCCATCTTGGTTCTACCCCCCACCCCAACCATTATGATTTTTCTTATGACTACATCCAAATTGATTTTTCAAAACTCAGGAAGGTAAAAAACATATATTCACATATCATTTTCATATAACGATGTATGCCTACAGAGAAAAATAAGCCTGTTTTCTGACAATGTTCAAATTAAAGAGTAATCATTTACCCTTCAAAAAACTTTTTTTCCTTTCTTCTCAAATTCCATCTGCTAAGTGAAGCTTTTCCTGAGCCTCACAGACACTAGTGGCTCACTTCTGAAATTACCTAGTATGGATTTTATACATACTTCTAGATGTATATGTTATCTTAGGAAATGTTTCATTTTTGTCTTTGTATCCATAGGGCTAGAACGGCTCCTGGCATATTGTAGGAATTTAATAAATGCTTATTGATTGATAGATTAGGAAGGCTGTGTGGTACAGTAGGAAAGGCACTGTCTTTGGAGTAAGAAGACCTGGGTCTTAATCTTGCCTCCAACATACCTGTGTGACCTCAGAAAAATCACCTTAGCTCTCTGGGCATCAGTTTTCTTGTTTGAAAAATGAGGGATTCGGACAGGATAGCCTCTAAGTTCCCATCCATATCTAACCCTGTGCGGTTTTTTGGTTTTTTTGTTTTTTATGATTCTCATTCTTCTACCAAGACTTAGCTCCAATCCTTTTCAACATGTTAGAAAAATCTGAAACAAAAATCAACTACAGTGAGTGAGTGAAGGAAAGCCTTTATTACACTTCTTG